GACAGTGTGTGGATTGAACTTTATTATTCAACACTCCAAGAAATGTATTTTCCCTTCTAAATGTTGTCATTGAAAATTGAGAATGATTGCTAAAAGGGGCAATTATTTAAGTTAAAAACAATATTTGCTATAAAGTAACCATTTTCATTAATACTCTTTGAGTTAGGATACCAAATTTGGAATAGTTAAAAATATTACCATACGATATCCATGGCTTTGGGCAGATGAAGCCTAATTCATGGAATTATTCAAGAGGAGGGAGTAACTATGCCTATAGGAAGGGAGGTAGGGCAGAGCTGTTGGAAATTTGCTCTTCTGATCTTCCTTTTAATGGAGTTACTGGGGTGAGATTGATGAAAAGGCAGGGTGATTTAAGTTAAGAAATTAGAACGTGAATAAAAATTGAGACTCAAGTAAGTTACCAGGAATTACAGCAGTCTTCAGTCTCCAAAGAAAAGAACTGTCCCAATATTGCTTACAAAAATCAGTAGTAAATCTGTTAATGGGCAATGACCCTAGCATTGTAAAGTGGAAAAATTATCTAAGGAATTCAAGCAAAACTCTTGGTATTATCTGAATTATTTGAATAATTGAGGTGAAAGTGGAATTTCTGCCTGGATTATTCAGATAATTGCTTAATTCTAAACTTCTCTTGGCTAGTAGAGAACTTTCTTCAGTATGTAATTTTCGAATGGTAAATGCTAAAAAATAGACTCCTAAGTTAAGCAGAGTAATAGAAGGAGGGAGAAGGAGAGAGAGAGAGAAAGGGAGAGAAAGGAAGAGAGAGACAATAAGTAGTTAATTGTCAGGATAAAACTGTTCTTTCCAGTGACAATAACCAACATCCACTTTTTCACCATAGAATTCTATGGTGAAAAAGTAAACTATATATGGATTTCAGTATAACCTGTTGTATTTTTTAAAGTTATAAATTCCTTTCTAAGTTCCAATTCTCTAAAGTTTGGAAACAGTGGCTTCAAATCCAGCCATTTCATTTTGTAAAGCCAAGTAAACTGACTTAAAAATCATAGCATACTTTTTCTTTGACTTCATATTATTGGTCTTTGCCTTCAGTTCTTTAAGGCAAATTAAAAGGATGTTAGTTGCTACTCTGTTCTCTTCTTTGGTAGCAGAACCCTAGGCAGTGAGCCCAGCTGAAAAATTATTTGCCCACCTCCCTTACAGCTGGGTGTGTCGTGTCACCAAGTTCTAACCCGTGAGTCGAAGTGTTGGGTGAGATTTCTGGATAGAATTCTTCCTTTCTGAACTGCTTCTGGTCTCCAATGTGACAAGATGCCTAGATCTCCTGTAGCCATCTTGGGCCATAGGGTGACCTTAAAAATGTTAGCCACACACTAGGATGGTGAAAGGTTAAGTTGGAAGAAACCTGAGTTCATGGTCATTGTGGAGCTACTGTATCTGCTCTGGAATGCCTCCCTCTGCACTGTTTTTACTTAAAAGGGTAATAAGTTCTATCTTGTTTAAGACACTGTTATTTCTAGGCTCTGTTACCAGCAGGTGAACACAATTCCTAAATGACACACATATCAAAGTATTATTTGAAAATATTTTGGAATTTTAGGGTTAAGTTTCCAGATATGTATAATGGTTCTCCCTCTCTCTCCTTTCCGTCTTCCTTCTGCTACTCTATTACAAACAACTGTAAACACACACATTTCAATTTGTGAGATAAAACTATGTGAGGTTGTATCGGTAATACATTTTGTGCAATTGCAAAGGAAAGATTTTGCAGTAGGAATTCTGAGAAGATAAAAGCTAAAGCATTAGCTCGAGGATTTTTCAGTATGTGTATATGGACTAAAAAAAAGTAAATAAGGAAGGAAGGAAAATATAGAAATGGAATGTAGCAATAGGATGTTAGTAAATTTTTTATTTTTTTCAGGTTTAAGGTAAGTACAATATTAATAGCAAGCGAGGGAGGTGAGATCAATCTACAGAGCACTCAGACGGAATAGTAGGTATTAATCATTTTCTCTTCAGAAGCTGCCCCAATTCTCTTCATCTTTTGAGATTCAGCTCTTCTATGAAGTTCTCACGGCCCGCCTATAGAAATTAACCTCTGCTGTTTATGCATTTATCAGGACTAGGGCTAAAGTACAGTGAGGGAGGTGTTTGTCTTAGGCACACCATTTAAGGGGTGCCAGAAAGCTCAGTAATCAAGATAAATATTTTAATGAAATATTTTAATTACCACACTACAGCATGCAAGCCAGTTTCCTCTTTTTCTAAATAAATTTTTAATTACACTTCACATTTATCTCTATTACAGCACTCAAACAGTGCTTTTTATAAATGTTCTCTCCCAACAGAATAGGCTGCACTCATTTTTGTATTCCTCATGTGCCTACAACTCTATTTTAAGCATAAAGACCTCCTAAAAATATTAAATTGAACCTACTGAAGGATTTTGCAAGAATATACTATATTAGAGACTGCAGGGTTAAGTTTTTATCTTAATTCAACAATAGCCAAAGAATAACGAGTGATAAATGTTTTCAAAGTACCTACAATTCAGTTCTATGAATATCACCTGACTTCTCTTTGACTAAAACCCTGCTCAGCCTGGAGAAAGGGAATTGTAATACTACTTTATATTCATATAGCACTCTGCCCTACATAAAGTGTTTTCTTTTAATCCTCATCTTAATCTTGCTAAATAGGTATTATAATCCTTATTTATTATGGAAAGATTGAGAAGTTAAGTGATTTGCCCAAGGAGTTACAGGCAAAAAGTGTCAGAGCTGGGGTTCTAACCCAGGTTTTTTGTGTCAAAATCCAATGCCCTTTCTGTACTCGGAATGCTAAATCTTAGGGGATTGACTGAGGAGAAACAATTCATTCAGCAACTATAATAGCCTGTGTTGTATGTATGAAACAATGTCAGTAGCACCCTAAACAGCAGTATTTTACCAATTGTACTCATCATGATTAAAATTGTCCTGATTCTTACGTGTGTGTGTTTGATGAAGTAGCTCAACTCTTCTGGCATAGTGTTGGCTGTTTTATGGCATTTTTTAGTCCAGGGAAAAAACCTACACATTGAAATGTCAAAGAATGGGGGAAAGTGAAGAAATTATGTATTACCTGAGTGTTAGTTTCTAATACAGCTTTACTGCTAATGTGTGCATGATATTCTGCAAAGCATGTAAATCATACATGTTTGTCTCTTTATGAAAAGGAAGATTTGGTAAAGTCTTTGAACTTTTCAGCTGAAAACGTTTATTTCAACATGAAATATTATGATAGTACTCCCAAGTTAGGAATTAAGTTTAATGGGTTTCTTTTTCATACTTAGAGGAAAAACTCTATGACTATATTTTAAAATTCCATACGGTAATTAAATTTGAGAACCTATAACTGCTTCAAATATAATTTCCATCAGTATATAATAAACACAACCCAAAACCAAAATGTCCATTATTGGCCAATCTAGTAGAAGATTTCTTATGAAAAGTATAGTTTCTCCTCATTGATTGCTACTTGGAGAATTAAAAACTTTAGTCTTTTTGTAAGCTCATGGCGTCATTCTCAAGAACAACCAGAACTCAAAGAAATTCAAAGCCATTCATTTGGTGAATTGCAACCTGTCATCAATAACTATTTATTGAATGTCCACAGGGTGCATAGGCATTGAAGTGGCAAGTGATTTATTTGCATGATTCAAAGGATTTCTAAGGGAAGTCCGAAGATTTGAAGACGTTTTTAAAGATGCAAAGCTGTGTGTGCTACTCTAATTTAAACTGCCCCTACACGGAATGGTTAGAATAGTCTGGGTTTGAGAACTCTAGGGATTTCAAACACCCAGAGCCGACTTTTTTAAGCGAAGACCCCATTGGGTGCCAAACGACAGATGGGGCTGGTGGTGAGAACACGGCCCCACCAGGGGCTTCTGGACAAATCAAGCCCTCCCCGGGCTGAAGCAGGGCCGATTGCGGCCGCGTCGGTCATGACCCGCCACCCCATCCCATCCCATCCCTCCCCTCCCCTCCCCTCCCCTCCCCTCCCTCCCCT